GGAGGGGAAATATTGGAAGGGGTCATAGGGTAAAGTGTTTGCAGAATTCTCCCAACGTGAGGAAGTATCTGACAAATAAGCCTCAGATAATTCACAAGCTCGAAAGCGCACGCGACAACACGAGCGGAAAGTTTCCATTTCTAGGACTGTGAATTTCATACTAACCTGCTTTTGAAGCTCAGAAGACACTTTGTGTAGTTTCTCGTTTTCATTTCGGAACACAGTATTCTGACGTTGAACCGAAGCCATTGCCTCCAGTCTCTCTGCCTGAAGAGCGTTTCGATAGCCAGGGCTGCAAGCACGAGCTCATAGCACTTACCAATTGGGCCTTTTCTGCAAGCGCGTTAGCAGTCGCTATCGCTTCTGACTGCAGACGTTGGACAGTAGTAGCCATCTCGTCACGATTCGAACGGATTTCTGCTACTTCTGCTCGTAGTCTCTTCACTTCCACTTCAGCCGTCATCGACCTCGATATGGCCTGAACAATGAAAAATTAGGGCGGAAAAGCCTATTTGGGGTATATTGTACCTTTTGCTTTTCTTCGCGCAAGAAAGCCACCACACTTTTCATTGATTCGACTACCGATGGCTCAGTATTCATGGCCAAATCGTTGACATCTTTCATTTCCTCCGATGTACTTGTTTCGGTCATTTGGGTAACCACCTAGAAAGGCAATGAGCATCCTTCTCCACCCTTCGAAAGGAAAAGAAAAATAATTAAACATACTTTCTCATATTTCTCCAGCAACTGTTCAAGTTTCAGCTCGTACTCCTTGATGCCGTCATTATACTTCACTTCTGCTGCTGACATCTCTTCCAGACGTGCCGCCAATGTAGTCTCAGTCGCACGGAGATTTTCCTCGGCCTTAAACGCGAGATTACTCATGGCAGATAACGTCCCGTTCAGTCGGGTTGGTGTCAAGAGGGTGGAATGGGCTAGGCTCTAGCTGCCTTGCTCAACCAGTGGTGATGATAGGTCAGTAATCTACTGGGTTGATTCCATTCCTTTTGGCACGGCCCATGCTGATTGCAACGATATTAGCAGTAAAGATCGATGTATAGGAAACTTTGTCTCAAACATACCACTCTGACTCTTTCATTAGCATTGTAAAGCTCCATCTCCTTGGATTCCAATTTCGAGTTTTTCTTCATGATTGTTTCCTCTCGATCCGCAAGGTCGGATTTTAGTGCACTCAACTGATCCATCAACTAAAACATTCCATTGTTCAGTAGAGGACAGCGGTAAGAGTTTACAAGAAATAAAATAAAACAGCGATAACCCCGATATGAAGAGCTTTGTGTTCCCCCGAGAACCAGGGACATACCAATCCCACCTAAAACTGGATGTTTTCCAGATCAAAATAAGCAATATCCATACCAAGCTGGACACTTTTTAAATCGAATAATAGCCAATAATAGTAGTGAGTCAAGTATTATCATAAAAAAAAAACAAAGAGAGGGCTTAAAACCAAATCGGCGGTATTATTAAGGTTTTTAGGCCAAACAAT